AACACTTGTCTTTGTTGTAGCCCTAAGTCTTTCTCTTTTGAATAAGAAGTTTGTGACTGATTCATACACTCATATGACAGCCATCTTCCCTGGAGGATACACCTCCTTCAGAGTTCACTGCATAGCTTTTCTTAATATTTCTGATTATACAGGAGACCATTCTGTGTGGCAGGGATGCTGCTCCCACTTGGAGATGCATAGGACCCACTCCCTGGGATAGGTTCTCTGGTGGGGAATCAGGCCTGCATTGTACATAGGCCGCTTTGAGTCTTGCTTTTGCTAAAAGTCCCTCACCCTGAATTGAGGCAGAGAGTGCCTACTGTAACTTCTTAAAGTCTGTGCTAAGCCTCCCCAGTATTGAGTGTAACCAGTTCAACCACTTTTACCTTTGCAAATATCCCTCTCCTGTGATGTGATTAACGGCATCCTCTCCTCTTTTTTTCTGTAAAAGGTAACCACCTGAAGTGAACCTGTGCATAGTAAATGAGGGCCATCATGTAATATGCCCAGAAAAGCAATAAAAGCTTGTCAAAGCAAGGGTTGGAGTACTCTCCCCTTGAGAGAATGGCTGAGGTGCTCCAAGGCTTTTCTCCTCTTGAGAGAGAAGCCTCACCATCCCTTTTCCTCCACAGGACTCAGTAGTCCATAGTCCATGTGAATTTCTCTTGTCTCATCTACAATGTTGCCTGCATCATGATTGTTTTCAAATTCTTATGGAATCCAAGTTCTCTTCTATATTTGTAACCCCCTTATGCTAGAGTAAAAAAAATGGTTCCAATTATTCTTGTATGTTTACTTGTTTGATTGATCATCCAGTATGTAACTAGTCTCTGATCTTCACCCCCAGCTCCCATCCATGTGTTGACACCCTTCTCTCTCTGCTTGTGGTCTGATTCCCTATTTTAGTTTGCCACCCCATGTGGATACCCTCCTCACTAACCATGGCTTTCACTTCCCACCCCTCCAGCCCACTGGTGCACCTGTCTGTCCTCCTGACCCCTCTGGGTATCTCTGAAAGAATGCCCTCCTCTCCCTGCTCCGGCTTTGACTTCCCACATCAGGCTGTCTGTTACGTGGACACCTTTCATACCTCTCGGTTCTGATGCCCCATGCCAGGCTGCTTGTCCCCATTGCATGATGGGTGTCTTATTGACACTTCTTGGGCTCTCCTCTTACACTTCGTCCTCCCCTTGTAAATTCTCTCCTTACCCCCTTGGGCTCTAACATCTGCTCTGGACTAGCGCTTCTCTCTATCCCCACAGACACTTACCTTGTTCTTCCTTGACTAATAACTTTAGAACTGAAATGATAAGGAATGAAGGCCTTAGCTAGGTTGCTTAAAATATGAAGAAACAGAAGTTCAGATGCTGATACAGCTTGCCCATGATCACAGGGCAAACTAGAGACAAGGTCAGTACAAACCCAGGTTTCCCTGAGTCTAAGCTGTGTGAGAGTGGGGACCTTCCCTCCTTTGTTCACTATTTTATCCTCAGCACCTAACGCAGTGTGTACATTGAGTAGAATGAGTGAATAAGTGAACTATTCACACTTTTTCTTTTTCATCTTGACATGCGTGTGTATAAAAATGAATGACTTTATATACTGTCTATAGCCAATAGAAATTCATACCTTTATGTGTCAACATCTAGATTTCTGTGCCCAGGGATGTCTTCTATTCTATGAATCTCTAAAGTTCCTAGCTGGAAAGTTGACATACACATGAAGATACACAAGCACTAAGAAGCTATGGTTGTTGTAGCATCCCAGGATTCTAGCGCTTCCAGCAAGTGTAGAAGAGAATGTCTGGGCACTACCCAAAGCAGCTCTTCTGTCTCTAGACTATAACCTCTTTAAAGTATGTGGAACCCCACAAGAGAAAAACACCAGTGCCATTTGACAAATATGGGCCCCATGAGCAAGCAGTTCCTGCAGTCCTACCACTGAGCCAAGACTACTCTGCAGGTTGCACAGGATGGGGTCTCCACAGCATGTTCTAGGAATGCTAGCTGTGAAAGCATCTTCTCAAGAAGAGGATTCTGTGGTTAAATAATGCTAAGAACTTTACATATCACAATGTTCATGAACATATTAAAAGCTCTGAAAAAACAGTGGAAGGAAACTGTTGCTTCTGTGTAACCTAGGGACACCAAAGTACCTTAACTGCAGAGCTCCATTAGAGTAATACCTACCCAAGTCTCCTTTCTCCATTCATGCAAAGGGTGAAAATATCTGTTATATGGGGCATTGTGGACCATGCTGCCTGGTTCTAGGAATTGTAATTCTACCCTCTGTGGCTAAGGATGAATGAGTGACCTCTGGAATGGGAGCTTCAGGAGACAAAGCTTGTCTCTGGTAGCAAATGCTGCCTCAGTTTCCTCTCCCTGCCCCCAAAGCTTAGTAAGAAGTCGAAGAGGGGTAAGATCCCTCACAGCAGGGGGCGACCTAAGCCAGACTCCATCACGTGGGAGGCCATCATGGAAGGACTCAGGGGGCTGCAACAAAAAGCAATGGACTCTCCCACCAACAATCCCACCCCCCCACCCCCACCTCGGGCTTTGACAAAGCCTGAGTCCCCACGTTCTCTGGGAGAAGTGCTTCCTGGCTCTAATCTCCTTAAGCCTGAATACCTGTTGGGGAGAGGTGCAGCTCCTTGCCTTGCTAGAGCATGTCCTGGGGAAAAAATCTGGCATCACAAAGACTTCCTGAAAGACCTGTGAAATCTGCTCTGCTAAGAGTGCTTTCACTCATATGTTAAGGGTTCAAGCAGGAAACTCTAAAACTCTCTGCCTGACAGACTCTGACTCAGACTATCTACTGTTTGATCCTTGCTGCCCTGTATTCCTGTGTATTACAACCCAATAAAAGTCCTTGGAGGAAGGGGCTCAACACCTTTTTCCCCTGAGAAACTGTCCACTGCTCAAGGCCTTTTTCCTCTGGGAAACTTCTCCTCCCCAAGCAGATCATGTCTCAGTAATGTTTACTCTCATCCGTGGCACATGGGGGAACTTGTGAGGAAAGTCGCCCCCCCAATGGGGTTATTGTACAGAAAATGGGCGAGATAAAGATATGTAAAGTGCAGAGCACAGTGCTTGGTATTTTCTCTTACATATATTAGTTATTGAAAATTCTTCCTTTTATTATTGAAGAAATAATAGATGTAGGTATTATAATTGAAAACATAATAAATGCATAAGGTTTTGCATAATAAATTTTGCATAATAAATGCAAATCACAAAAGGAATATAAAATTCCTGTGTCCAAATTTCCTCTTCTTATGAGGACACCAGTCATACTGGATTAGGGCCCGTCGTAATGACCTTATTTTGAATTGATTACCTCTGTAACAACCCTATTTCCAAATAAGGTCACAGCATGAGGCTCTGGGGGGGGGGTCAGGTCTTTAGACTATGAATCCCTAGGGGGACAGGATTCAGCCCATAACAGACAGTTTGTAACTTGGGCTTCAGTGTATTCCACGCTGTGCCCATGACGCCCACCCGCCACCTGCAGCTGTGAAGTCTGGGCTCCTTATGAAGTGCAAGGACTGGGCTCAGGTGTTGGTATCGCGCTGCAACCTCTTGTTGACAACCTACGGCATTTCCCCTCAAGGAGTCTGTGTTCTACTGGAGCCTCCTGACGAAAGCACAGGGAGCTGAGCTGTGGGTCACCGACAGGCCCACTGCCCTTCTGATGTCCTCTCTGGCTTCTCTCATGTTGTTCCCTTCCTCACTTCCTTCCTTGCTTGTCAGGACATTTACCCTTTGATCCTGTTACCTATCTCCTCCCTTTCTTCTTTATTAACCTGATTATCTTCCTTTTCCTGCAGTCCAGTCTCTTTTTTCATGTTTCATTCAGTGAAGGTGGGGAAACTGCCAGCCGTTTGTATCTTTCATTGGGTGATTGGAACTGCATTCTGCCTGATTATGCTCAAACATTTTTGAAAATGAAGATATCTGCCTGAGAGATGCCTGAAAGAAGAAGTTATTTTTATTTTTGGAATAGTTTCTGATTAAATTTCCTGGAGAAGAAGAGAAGCCAGCTGTTTTCACTAGAAGTGGATCTTTGGTTTGGGTTCCCATGGCTTCCTGGCGAGCGTGTGACCTCAGGACTCTGGTGGCTGTTGTGTGTGGGCTGCTGACCACCATCGTTTTGGGACTGGGCATCTGGAGGGCTGTGGTCAGGATCCAGAGAGGTAATGTGGTCCTACTATGTTTAACTTAGGGTGAGAGAGCCTCTGTCCCCGACACCTGCCACAGTACTGAAAAGTGCCATGTGGAGGCTGAGGCTGCCCACTAAGGTTCTGTTCACAAAATATAGAGGACAGGGGTCGACTGCTGGCTGGCTGCTGTTGTACACACATGACGACGTGTGTGTGAGTGGGCGAGGTGATGCATGACATGGTTGAATTGGCCTCTTTAGGCTCTTTTAGCCCCAGACTGAATAGAGAGCAATCGTTAAAATCATTAATAACATGTTTGGATTTGTCGAGCTAAATCTAAGAAAGGAAAATAGTTATGGACAGACGTATACACAAATAAACACACCTGGAGTGAAATTTCATTCCAAGAAGGAAGTTTAAGAGTATTTTCTCTAGGATTATAAATAAAATATCATGGCATGCACACAAAATTCTCCCTTTTCAAGTATAGAAAACTACTAAAAAATTCCGGTAATTTAGAAAACACTTTTCCTGGTTATTCAACAAATATTTTTTAGTCACCTGCTCTGTGCTACAGCCCAGCCCGGGAAGGGGGGCGGGAGGGCGGCGCCGTGAGACACAGCGACATGGAAGGGTAGCCCCAGAAACTCGCAACGGAGGCCTTGCGACCCCCGCACGGCTCCCTCGGGCAGGTTCTCTGTGCCGGGGTCAAAGCTGGATGTGCTCAGCACTCCCCTTTTGTGAAAGACACTAGGTTTCTAAAGAAGCAGAGTCAGTAAGGGTAAATAATGGCGGTCAGGAGAGGGCAGAAGAAAATGCGGTTTGGCTTTTGGGAAGGTACCTGCGGAGGAGGGAAGGTGCGGAGCCCGGAGGAGCAAACGCAGGGCCGTGCAGGTCCGCGGTTGGGGACGAAGGGAGTCGGAGGCACCCGCGGCGGCCGGCGGCGCGGGATCTGGGAACAGGTCTGCTGTGCGCCCGCCCCCACCCCAACCCCGCCCCGAAGAACAGTGTTTCAAGAATATTGAATTAATTAGGCTTTACAGAACTAGCATGAGAAAATGATCAGACAAAACCAGTAAAATTTAAACTCGAGGAAAATGTATTTTTATGTTTGTTTAAGGCTTATAAAGTAGTTTAGTTTAAGTTAAAAAATGTGAGCTCTCGAGTTAGTCTGATTAGGGCTCCTAAATTTGTAAGACCTTATTTAACAGTAAACTTAAAAAGCAAACAACTTTCCTCCTTCCCTCCTTCCTCTTTTTCTTCCTTCCTTTATATGACATCTACTTTTTATTTTATTTTTTTATTTTTTAATATTAAATTTTATTTAGTTACTTTTCACGTACATTTTTTTAAATCTATTTCTCCCATCCGCCCCCCCCCCCCCCCGCCTGGTCTCCCCCCTCCCTCCCATCCCCCCCCCCCCCCCAGTCCTCATCTCTGTGTCTTTCATATTTGTTCCTCAAAATCCCTCCCCCTTTTTCCCCTTAAGTTCCCTTCCCTCTCCCCTCTGGTCGCTGCCCACTTGTTCTCTATTTCACTTTTAAAGGGAAATTTGTGGTGACTTATAAAGGACCCAGGTACAATAGAGCCATTCAAAACAAGGACCAAAGTACACACATGTCTTTAAAAAGAGGACCGGGCGGGGAACAAAGAGTATATGAAAGTCAAAGGCTGGGGGCGGGGGAGGGGTTGCTAAAAATAAACACGAAACACATCCCCGGGCTCCTTGAGGTCTGAGGCCCACACCAGGCAGAGTAAGTAACAAAGGTCCGACGCAGAAGCAGGCCAGCCCCTCAGAAAAGAAAAGGGTTTCCTTGCTCTAAACAGAATTTCAATTGGCTCTTTTTATAAGGGACACCCCTCAGTTGGGGTAAACCGAGTTAAATAGGAGGGGGTTACTACTATCATTTAAAGAGAAAGATTGAAAGACTGATATTGCTTGCTGTTACATTTTTGCCTTGTGCATTTCATTCAGGTTTTGTTTTGGTAAAATTTGGGTCATTTCACTCCTCTCCCTTCCACTCATTGTACTCCATCTCATCTCATCCCATCTTATATAATTATTGAATGGTCTCCTTTTGGTTCCTTCCTTTACTTGGATATAGAGATTAATTGTTTAAATTGATTTTTTAAGGAATGATGGGCATTTTGTTATTTCATATTATAAAACTGACCATTTAAAAAATCCTTACTATATTGTAGGTACTGTGCTAAAAATTTCACAAACCTTATTTCATTGAATACTGATACCACTTTTTTTTTAAGAGAGAGGGGAAGGGAGAGAAAAAGAGAGGGACGGAAACACTGACTGCCCTCCATATGCACCCCAACCGAGGACAGAACCTGCAGCCCAGGCATATGCCTGACCTGGAATCAAACATGGGACCTTCTGATTTGCAAGATGATGCCCAACCAACTGAGCCACACCGGCCAGGGCCTGAAGACCACTTTCGAGGCAGCTATTATTATATCTGTGTTACAGATGGGGAAACTGAGACTCATAGAATGTTTCAAAGCTTACCTAGTTGGAAGGGACTGGGTCTGGGTTGGAATCTACTCATTCTGACTCCAGTATCTGTGCTCTTTATTCCTACACTATTCTGCCTAACTAGAGGTAAGATAATGGTAACCCAATCAATTAATTTACCTTTTCTTTTGAGGCAACTGTGGCTGAAAACCTAATTCCCAAAGATATGCAGTAATCAGTAGAGTCAGAGCATTTTGTTGTTTTGCTAGGCAAAGTTAGGCACTTGGGGATATCGCATTGCCTTCAAGTCAATGAGATCTACTTTGTTAATGCTGCTTCTAGAGTGTAGTAGATTAGTACTCTTGCTTCAATTTTAGGGTTTCGGAGTCGTCGACTAGTGTCTGTAGATTTTTTGACTGTGGAGTAACTGCCATAACTTTGCCACCTCTGTTATGTTATGCAAAAGCACTTCCTCTCACCTTTGCGATATTATAAGACTATCTGCCATTGGTTTTCTAGTCTAGCAGAGCAAAAGGGACCGCATTGCCTGCAACACAGTTTATTTCTTGTTCATCCTGGTGATTGCCTTTAATAGAAAGATTTCTCACATGCACACAGCCCCAACATCTGCTGACCATCAAATAAATCACAGATGTGCTCATTTCCATCTAAGTATTCTGTGTGAGTTTACCTTTTTATCTTTTAAGTGAATCATTGGTTTAAATATCAAAGAAGTGCTTCAAGACATGACTTCTAGAAAGCCAGTGATCTTCTGTATAGTGTACAAGAGAGTTTTATTCTGCTCCTATTACCTAATAAGACTGCTTAAAAAAGATCTTGGTTCAAGGCTCTGGTCCTGATACAGCTGACAGTGTTGTATGTGTATAGATGAGACTTCTTTTAGGATTGCTAGTTTAGTCTTCAGCACTTTTATATGCTGCTGATGAAAACATTGTAATATTAATTATTTATTTGTTTTACCAAAGCATCACAACATTTTTGAAATAATATGTTTTATACATATTTATATGCATATAAATAATATAAATGTAAACACAGACACAAATATGTATTAACCCACAGAAATATTACCAAATGTAATACTCTATTTATGCTCTCAGGAACAAGATGTCCTATGCATTTGAAGTTGTGTTTGGTAGAAATGTTTTCATCACTACTGGTGACTTTTGCAATTTTCAAACAGAGCTCAAGATTTGGAGTTCTTGTCTGATGATATCGGGTTGCCTAAAACTCTTCCTTCAGAGTTTCACGTGCCTATCTCATTCTTTGATGGTTTAGGTTTTAGGTTAAATGTTACTTCCTCAAAGAGACCATTCCTATGCACCCAGTCTAAGGCTATCAACCTATTCATTCTCTTTCACGTGTACTTTTCATGTCTTCTAACACCTCATGATTTCCTAATTATTCGGTTGCTATTTTCTGTCTCTCCATTTCTAGAATGAAAGCTCTTAAAGTAAATCAGAGACCTGACTTATTAATCCATATTCCCTGTGCTAAAATAGTACTTCAAATATAGTTGCCAATACAGAGTTAATGGGTAAATAAAAGAAAAAAGAAAAACTAAGAGTTGTCAAATAGCTGTATTCAAAAGTGAAATAACAATTACCAATTTCTTGTGATTTGCCTCAAAATATTAAAGTACTGTAATTCTGGATTTGCTTATATCATTAACACAGACACTATTTTAGTTTTCTTCCTCTGGTCTGAGCCATGCAACACATTGACCATTTCTGCCACGTTGGCTTCATTAAGATCTCTCCAACTGTGTGTGGCCTCTTTTGTTTAACCTTATGCTGAACAATTTTATGGGATGCTTTTGTGTTGGAGCAAATCTAAGTTTTGACAGTCCTCCAACCTATTCACTTTGGGCATTCTTCCTAGAATCATACCCTACTTATCATACGTGTCTTCAGAATGGACAGATATAAGGTGCTGCATCTCTGCTGGAGTCGTGCTTCCAGTAACAAGAACCTTGTAACACAAGAAGCCTGTGATAAAAGTAAAATTAAAACGTCATTAGGCTTTATTGTCTCTCTTTCCATTGACATCTTCCAACTTGAGCTAGGCCTGAAGTGATCATAGGTATCCATAAGCATAACAGTAGGAGATGTTTTCTTTACCTCTTACCAATGGGAGCATATCTTAACTTCATATCAGATTAGCAACGATGATTAAGCCTCTTTTGGATCTTAGGACTTCTCTCTGCCCTCATGACCGCTTTTCCCGCTCCTCTCCAGTTGCTCAAATCTCCATTCCCTATCACAGGACTTGCTTGTGCCTCAGGCTAAGCACAGACTTTAGTCAGTTGAAATATTCCCGAGTCCCAAGGTTAGACTCCATAGCATGGAAACTCTTGCATAATAAGAAATGGGTGTTGTGGGAGAGAGGTTGAGGAGAGTTTACTGGGTCTCAGAAAATAATCTGTCCACAGATACTTGGCTTTCATTTTACTGAATTACAGCACTTCCTCAAGAGACAAACTTGGTAATAAACCAGGCTCATAGGCCTGTTCCTGGAGGACAGGGTGCACTTTGGGGTTCAAGGGAAAAAGGTCCAGGGAAGTGTTTTCTGGGTAGAGGAAGCCAGATTTTAGGCAGCTGTGATGTTTGTCTTAATCCTGCTGTTAGAAACCTCTCTTCTGGTCCGTTTCTGGTCTCCTGTCTCGCTTCTTCATATTACCACTCTGCAAATCAAGAAAATAATTCCTATAAAAGCAAAGAAAAATTTTCGAGGAATAAATTTTATTATATAATTGGCCAAGGGACATGGATTATTTTAACATCAGAATTAATGATGTTTACATTGCTGATTCCATTTTAAAAGTCACTTTTTTTGGAGAATTTGTATTAGTTTATTTGAGCCAAAGCTGATGACAACTGCCAGGAAACAAGATCTCACGCCCTCCCTAAGCCACTTTCTTAACTTAAGAGTTAGAACCTTAGCTTAGTGGGGTTTTCCTTGATTTCCAGGTGTTAGATATATTCATTTGAAATTCTGAAAGCCGCCAGCACCCATGGGTCTTTGGTAAGACGTGTTATTGAAGATGTACCATAGAGTATGGTGGTGAAGAGTTTATATATTAGAGTTTAGGGGCAAAAAGTACAAGAGTAGGAGAAAAAACAAAAGGTCTGGAGCCAGACTGCCTGCATTCAAATTCCATTGCCAGTGCTGACTAGCTGAGTAAATCTGAGCAAGTTCCTCAACATTTTTTGTTTCAGTTTTCCCCTGAGGGGAGAAATAATAAACCCTACCTTATAGGGCTATTGTGAGGATAAAATGACTTAATACATTTACAGGTTTAAGATGACGTCTGTTATGCTGTAGTCGCTCAATAAATGCTGCCTACTGTTTTTAATCTGTGAATTTTTAAATAATTTAGTGCATAGTTTTTTCTATTCCCTGAATTATACCTTGAATAGATGCCATTGACCTAGACCTTTGAATCGAAACAATTTATCAGATG